CGTTCCTGGAGCAGGGTGGGCCTAGGGCTGGATGGGAAGGTGGGGGGATTGGCTTACAGCGGGGTGCAGATGGATGGGAGCTAGGGGATGCCAGAGCAGGTGGTTGCTAGCTGGGGGCTGGGTAAGGGTATTGCAGGGGCAGTGGTAAGGGCTACAAAGGATAGGGGGCAGGTTATAAACTAGGCCAGAGGTGGGGCTGTTGGTGGGAGGAGCCTGGGGCTAGGACTGCCCCCGCACTGCTGCCCTCTGCTATGCAGCAGGGAGGGCTGCAAGAGGGATGTAGGACAGTCCCACAGTGAGCCCTAGTGGCCTATAGTAGTCACTGCCACCCGGCTGAATGAGTGACAGGGTGGCAGGCAATGCTGTGTGGCGTTCCCAAGGCCCCTCACAGTGGGTCGAGTTCGGACTTAAAGGACAGGTCCCGTGAGCTTGGTATGCTTGTATGTAGTCTCAGACCCGGAGGCTGCCCTGGTCCATCTTAGCTCCAGCTGGATAGAAGAAAAGAGCACGTGGGGAAAAGGGCAGCAATGAAACCCCACATGACCAGAGACCTCAGCTACTTGGTTTGCACAGCTGTGAGAGTCCCCAGTGTAGCTGCTGCTGCCCTAGGGCTGTCCCTTGCTCCCAGCTCCCCTGGAGCACAAAGGGAGAAGCAGCCTCCAACCCTGCTGAGCACCATATGCAGCCACAGTGCAATGAATGGGCCAAGCCCATTGGGATAAAGGGATTCTGCCCAGAGAGAAATCTGTGGTCCCTGCCCCTTGGGAGATGTGCTTGCCTCTCCTTGCCTACTGCAGGCTGAGCCAGGGGTGGGTGGGAGACAGTTGGAGGGAATGCACTTTACCAACACCCTTTCTTGTCTCCTCACCCAGCAACATAAAGATCCACCACTGACCAGGGAACAAGGGGGCTGATACCCGACCGCTGCTCTGACAAAGAGCTGGGGGTCAGGAGGGCCAGTATGCGACAAGGGAAGGAGAGTGCTCAAGGGTGGGTCCAGGATCCTCCAGTTGAGACATGGCCTGTGCACTGCTAACTCCAGGGTCCGGCCTCATTTTGAATCATTCCGTCTACAGAGACCAGGTCCCCTGCCAACACTTGCTGAGTGGGGCCCAGACAGACAACATCATGCATTGACCAGGCATGGGAGCAAGGATAGGATGGAAGCACTCTCTACTCCATTTCCTGGTGGACTTCTATGCTACTAGACAAAGTGAAGAAAGGGTGCTGCGGGGTTGCAGACTGTTGCATTCCTCTAGCCCAGGGGCAGGGAAAATATGGCCCATGGGCCAGATCCGGTCTGCCAGGCCATTTTATCCGGCCCGTGGAACCCCTAAAAAACTTAGAAAATTAGTATTTGCTCCTGGCTACCTGTCAAAGATGACAGGAGCCATGGGCAGTAGGACCCAGGGGAAGCCAGCAGGACCCAAGAGCAAGGTCAGCCTAGCCTCACCCCCCACAGAAGCCTTTGCCTGCTGCAACTTCCACTGCTTCCCTGCCTGCCCAGCAGCAGCTCCAGCACCAGGTGGCTCCCGCCTGCACCACCAGACAGTGGGAGCACAAGGCCGCATCAGTACCTGGGGCCCAGGAGCAGAAGGGGGGTGTATATGTGTGTACACACAGTGAGGGAGGCAGTGTATGTATATGCAATGAGAGAAAGAGAGTCTGTGTTCATAGGGTGAGGGACTGCTGGTGGCAACGGTTGAGGGTTAGGGAGCAAGACTTCCAGTTCCAAGATGGTGACCGGGGGCAGGGCACTTGTCAAGGGCCAGGGCTACCCATGTAGCTCTAAATAGCTTGCCAAAACTCAGTAAGCGGCCCTCTGCCCAAAATAATTGCCCACCTCTGCTCTAGCCCAAATATCCTCTGCACACGCTGCAGTAGGCTCAGAGGGCCACCACAGCTCCGCCAATGTTGCTATCACATACTGATCATTCAGGGCGAATCATACCCAGGGCCTGTGGTAGGTGCAGGGAGCTCAGACCTCTGGCAGGTTCAGCTACCCCCACCCCCTATACCACTGCTTGGTTGCAACCCTTGGTGTTCCCCTTTCCTCCAGAAACGATTTGCCCCAGAAATCAAAGGGGAAAGCAAGAAGCCCAAAGGCCTGGAGCTGGCCCTCCATCAATGACCTACCAGAAGCAGAGGGTGATGAGACTCCTAGACCAGGGTACTTCTTGCAGGCAAGAGGAGAGCAGTGAGGCCAGGCACAGGCTGAACTGGCTCCACAGCTATTCTTCTCCCCTAAAGCCCAGAGGGCAGTGAAATTGGACAGCCCACCCAAAGCAGCACTGAAGTCACAGACCACAAAACAAGGGCACCCCTTTCCCTTGACCCCAAGTCAGAAATTAGCACCTCACGCAGTGCTGGGGCTTTCAGGTTTTTTAATTTATTTATTTTCTTGGAAAAAAATAAGGCAAAAAAACCAAAACAGAAATAGAGGGATTCTCTCTCTCACTTTAGCTGACGAGGTGTCCCTCCAAGGGAATCTGGGGCACCCTGTTCCCTCTACCATGCAGGGTGGACTGCTGGGCTCAGCCATATCCCTGACAGCTGGCAAGAGGAAACCCTGGGTGGGCAGCAGGCACAAGCCCCAAACTGAATGAGTGCCGTCCTTCACCCTGGTGGCCGAGGCTCTAGTCAAGGAAAAGAAACACAAAAACCCCGAAGAGAAACATACAAGGAAGGCACCTCAATGTGTGACCCTCGGCCAGGGGTAGGGGCTGCAGAGGATGCCCTCCAGCTGTGGGGCTGGGCTGGCGCAGGCCACACACCTCCTCCACAGCAGCACCTACTGAACATCAGGAATGGGCTTTGGCAGCTATCTAAGCCCAGCAGTGAGGACTCCGGACTTCAGCCTCCCCCCTGCAAAGGGAGGGGTGTGTGGCTTCCACTGGGTGGGAGAAGGGAAGGGGGAGAGGGACAGCCTTGCTTGGTCCCCAAGGAGGGGTCACCCTGGGGGAGAGATGAGATGGGGGCAGTGAGTGTTACAAAACCCAGAGTCTGTAGGGGCAGGGGAGGAACAGGAAAAACAACCAAAAAAAAAAAAGTTAGGTCTCTCTACATATATATAATATACAGGTATCTAACAGATGCTCTCTAGGCTAGAGGCTGCTCTTGCTGCCACAGAGGAGCCATCCATCCACATCCCAGCTCCCTGCCGCCAGGGCTTGCCCACCTGCCTGGGGAAAAGGGCAGGGGGGAAGGCAGGGCAGGGTAGTGAGGGGCTGACGGCTTCTTGTCAAATCCCGCCATGCTGCGAGATCAGACTGGAAGAGACCAGCTGCTTGAGGGGAGGATTCCAGGAGACCGAGGCCAGCCTCAGGCTCTCCAGGGAGAGGGCTGCTGTGCCATATCCCCCATGGTGGGGTAGAGGTGGGGATGTACCCTCAGCCCTGCACCAAGGGCACCCACACTGCCCTCTCCCCAACTATGCCCACCCTGCATGCATCCTCAGCTCCCCACCAAGGGCAGGAAGGGATAGACTCCCATCTTGCCAGCACAGGAGCCACGGTGATCCCAGACACCCCTCATGGAGATTTAAGTGTACACGTGTATTTGGAGGGGGAGGGGGGGGTGCTTTTTTCCTCATCCCCTCTACCCTCCAACCCCTGTGGGGACCAGACCTTCCTTGTTGGCCATGGATGTTAGGAGTCAAGTGCTTTTTTCTGCAGCAACTCAGCCTTCCCTCCCTCCCTCCTCTGCAAATTGGCAGGGACTTCAGCCAAGCAAGACCGAAGACAGTCACGTAAGGGAGCCAGGGATACGGTAGTCAAGGGCAGAGTGCATGGGGCCCCCAGCCACCTGGGATCTGGACTTCATCAATGTCAGCTTCGATCAGCTAAGGCAACCCAGCCAATCACCGCCACCGGCTTGTGCCGTGGGCGACTGATTTGCAACAAGTGATTGGTTAAGACAGACAGACGTGAGGGAAGCGCCAGGCAAGGAAAAAAAAGTCACGTGATTGGCTGCTTCCCTCCAACCTTCCTCCTCTTCCTTCCTTCTTCTGTGACTAGGTCAGAAAATATCCGGGCACACGCTCCAGTCCTGCTTCTCCTTGCTTTCCCAATAGCCTCCTTTGTACACATGCGCTATCTCCTTGGTGTCGGGGTCTTTCTTGCGCTCAAACCACAGTGGCTTGTAGGGGTCATAAAGAGTTCCTGTGGGGAAAGGAGAGAGGGTTAGACATATTTCAGCATGCTCTGCTATGAAGTGGAAGAGGCAGCGGTAGAAACTGGGTGGGCCCATTACTGTCCCCTTACCGTCCTCCGTGGCCTTCACGGCCTCAGCTTCACGCTTCTTGCGGGAGATACGCTGCTTCTCCTCCAGGCGCTGCTTCTCGGCATTGGCTTCATCCCAGCGCCCATTCTCCATGAGGCGCTGGTCAGGTCGCAGCCTGCTGTCGGTAGGGGCAGTGCCACTTTCGAGGGCATTAAGGGTCAGAGCCAGCTCTGAGAAGAAGTACATGTTCTCGGCGTTCTTCCTGTACCAGTGGAGGGGCAGAGGCAGACAGGCAGGGAGTGAGGTACCACACCACAAACATCCCAGTACTGTACTGACCAGCTTGGGTCACATGCTACCAGCCAGCAAGAAATTCAGCCTTTACTGGGAGGGGAGAGGCATCCCGCCAAGTTCTGCCACTAGTTTTCATGCTCCCAGGAGAATACAGATGGCAGCTAGTGCAAGAAAAGCACCCATTGCAGATGCTGTGTGGTGTGAGCCAGTTCCCTTTACTGTAGCCCAACAGGCAGTGAAGGGGCCCTAGGCTGCCCAGCCCTACTAGCCTCACCACACCAAGTCAGTGCCTGCTACTCACGGGAGTGGGTTCCTTTTCCACAGCAGGAGCCTGGTGTCCTCAGCCTCATGTGCCTTCTGTCGCCCCTCAGCGCCATTCTCCCCACTGCCTGCCAGCACCTTGTAACAGTCCATCTTCTCATCCCAGGTGCCCAGCAAAATGAAGTGGACCTTTCCCAATGGATCCATCACCTCCCCCGTGACCTGCCAGGAGGGAAAGGATGGGAGGATATGGGCATCTGAGCAAAGCAGGACCAAGCATTTGCCCATCACAAATGGACAGGACCAAGCACCAACTTTCAAGTTCTTCAGCCCCATTTCCCAGGGGCATCCCCCACCCTCTTAACGCACTGCTCTCCAGATCAACAGCCAGTTTTGATCAGAACTGATATATAGCATGGAGACTGGGGACACGGGCCTGCCTCCCTGGAGCACTTCCCCCATTCTGGTATAGAAGCGTATAGTTCTAACCCTATCCTCTCACCCAGCACCGCCCCAGTGTGCCTGGCCCTTTCATTTCCTTCTCTCTATTTCTCAAGGCCCTGGGCTACAATACCCCCCATCCCCTGACATCAGCTCCCTGCCACTGGATGGGCCTGGAGCTTGGCCCCTTTACCTTCCTGGCCACGTCCCGGGAGAAGTAGCTGTAAGGAACAAACTTTAGATTGCACTTGTCGCCCGTCTTGTGATTAATGATCTCGATCTCACCTGACTGCAAGGGAAGAGAAAGGGTCAGGTCAGCCAGTCTTGGTGGCATCGATGCACACCCCAAACCGACCCTGGTTTACAAATGGGGGAAACTGAGGCTCAGCAGTGCAGCAGCCTACTCAAGCTCAGTCAGTTGGTGAAAGAGCTGGAGAGGATAGCTTCCATCCGCTCTCATACAGCAGGCTCTGGCACAGTTCCCACCTTTGTCCCTACTGCTGCTGCTCTGACTCACCTGGTCTATCCACAGTTTCCCGACGATGATGTTGTGTACGGTGGTGGTGACCTTCTTCCAGGTATAGTGATTGCCGCTTGAGGGGAAGATGCAATGGATGGTACCTAGGAGGGGGATGTGGGGGGGGACAGTGGTCAGAACAGCAATCACCAAATGAGCTGTTCCACAGCAAGACAAATGTCACGCACCCAAGACCCTGCCACCAGACGTAAGGCTGCTAATGACACTATGTGACCCAGTTCCAAAAAGCTATCATGTCCATCTCCAAAAGATGGAGATCCTAAAAGAGGATGAACTTTGTAAGTGCTCAGAGAAGCAAAGGAGAACCACTCTGGAGAAGAGCAAAGCTTACTAATGAATGCAACTTTAAGAATGGTACTTAGGCCAGCCAGGCTGCCTTTGCCCAGCTTCAACCCCAACCTGCACTGCTTTTAAGGCTGCTGCTGTGGTTCCCCTAATTTACCTGTGGCAGGTTAGGGTTTTAGGTCGGTGTTGTCAAGGTTGATGGCAGTCTTATGCAGACTTCAGATTACGGTTGTATGGGATAATTTGGACAGGGATGCTCCTGCCTCAGGCAGGGGATTCGACTAGACTTCTGGAGGTCCCTTCCAGCCCTACTTCTCTATGACCTGACATCTAGTTTGACTAAGGTCACACAGCAAGCATTTGCCTACACTGTCTCTGTGTTGTGTCCGAGGGCACCGCCAAGAAGCATGCTCGCCCACTGGGCCAAATCCCATTCTACAGCGGCCCTAAGCACACCCTCAGAGCCACTGTCAGGCTGTTCTGATGTGCTTCCAGCAATGTTTGTGGCACTTAGCAGAAGCTGTGCTGCCACCTCAGGAATGAACAAGCAAGGTGCTGTGCAGAACAATACCCCTGGGCATGGCTGGAAGGAGGCACAGGGCATCCCTCAGTGGCAGGGTTGAGCACGGAGACCTGGTTTCCAGCTCAAGGTTCTCAAACTGCAGGCTCCCACTACCACAGAGCACAACTGTGGCCCTGTATTGAAGTGATGTGGTAGGTGCAGCACTGAGCTAGGAAGAAGTGAGGGGGAGTTAGCAGCAGGAGCTACCTTCCTGTAGCATGCTCATTTTCCAGGAATGGCTGGACATACAGGCTAGATTATTTGGAAATGTAGACACTCCCATTTGGGGAAAGTAGAAGGCTCATGCTCAACTAGCCCCAACCATACAAGTTGCCCCTCCCTGCCCATACAGCCTGTTACAGCAGCACGTGGAAGGCACAGGCAAGAAGTAGGGAGCAGACTGATTCCTAGAAAGACTGAAAACTCAGAGCCCTTGTAGGGATCACACCCCATACTTGTCTTTCTGCCTGCAATGGTAAGCAGTACACACAGGCACTAAAGGGCTTAGGAGGGCCAAGGGCAGATTTCCCTTGTCACACCCTGGAGCACTTGGGCTAGTGCTGAACAGGCTGCAGGTAGGGGCAGGCTAAGGGGGCACTTGGCCTTGGATTCTACTTGGAGGTAAAGGTTTTGTAAAGCAGGCATGCCTGGCTGCGAGGCTCTCAGGATGAAGTGAAGGGCTCTGCTGGGGGAGTAGACATGTGAATCACACCCAGTATTCAAGGAGCCTGGGACACTCTCCTTGGCCCAGCAAGCATTCCCAATGCTACCGAGCCAGGGGCACTGGCAACCTGAGCACGGGGACTAACCGAGGGGCATGATGGAGAGGTATTTGCCACGGAACTTGCTGGTGATTTTGATCTCCTGGCGAAGTGTCCAGCCATGCTTGGACTCCGCGTGGTGGGCAGCAGCAGGAGGGTGGTGGCTTACCTGGAAAAGATGGGAGGAACGGAGCACATCAGGATGAGACAAGCACAGTCAGGTAAGGCATGGGGCATATGCAGACACAGCGCTGGTACCCCCCAAGAGAGGAGACCCAGGCACCCACTCAATTCTAGAAGGTACAATGCTGAGGAGACCCAGCGTGAATGCTGCCCACATCTGGCTTGGGTGGCTAGGGCCTGAAAGGCAGAGAATGAGGCTGTTGGTCCTGCAGACCTGCTCGCAGAGGGAGCGGTAGCCGTTCTCCTCCAGCCGGTCCAGCTCAAAGGTCTCGCCAAGGAGTGGGTTGAATGGCTTGCTGGTGCGGTAGACAGTGGTGGAGTAGGACGACACAGTGAAGGCAGCCACATAGCACAGCTGCTCCAGGGAGTTCTCGCACTTGGCCGCTCGGTCCAGCAGCGCATGGTACTCCAGGTCCTCAGTGAGGCGCTGAAGCATGGACAGGGGCTCATTGAAGTTCACCTGGGGACAGGAGAGAAAAGTCAGATACTGGAGCCAAGCACAGGGCAGGGTTCTCTGAATAGCCATGGACCTTGGGGCTCAGAAGCTGAACAGAACAAGGATGATCTCTGCGTAGCCTCTGGGCCCTGATGGGCCATCAGGGCTGGAGATCAGCTCTCCCAAGACAAAAAGCATAACTTGCTCCAGAGCTCCCCCTGCAGACTGGGGACTCACTGGCATGGGGATCTTGGAGAGCTCCTTCCCAATGCAGTTCTTCATGATGCTCCACAAGTTGAGGCTGTAATTTGGCTTGTAAGGGATGCGAGTCCTCTTTTCTTTCTTGGTGTCTTCTGGCAGGTGCTTGTACTGAAGACAAGACATAAGACCCATCAAGCCACGATGCAACCCCCACCCCAGAAGGCTAAGCTCCAGACTTTTAAGGCCAAACATGACCTCCTTTCACAGCTCACTCCACCACCCAGGTCTTCCAGCTGACTGACTGATGCCCCTCTGTGGCCTTCATTCCATCTCCAGCAACTTTCCAGGCCCAAAATACCTCTCCTGGGCTTGACCCACCAAGCCTACTCCCTTTCCTCTCTGCACACGATCCCCAGAATGAGTCTCTCCCAGCAGGTTTTCATGGTTGCTTAAGTCTCCATCACTGCCCACTGAGACCACAGTCTCCAGATCTTGGCTTCCCATCTACCAAGAGCACAAAGTACAGTGATGGTGCATGTCGTGCCACTAGCCTCATGACTGACTGGGTCATGGGTGCAGTCACAACCTCCTCCCCTACAAGGCTCATTCCTCCCTTCTGGAATCCTCCTTCCATCGGTAGCAGCAAGGCCAATCACCTCCAGCCCCCACCTCTGGGACCCACCTGCTCATCAAGGCTGATGTCACTGCTGGTGCCGCTGATGTTACTGCCAGTGCGTCTGTAGGGAGTAAAGAAGGTGAAAATTAGTATCCTGCCCCTCACTGCCTCCTGGCCACCAGAGATGAAGGCTTTCGGAGCTGAGGAGGCAGCTTAGAGAGCAGAGAAAAGACACAACCTCTGGCAGGAAGATGCAGAGGCCCGTGCCAGGCAGACAGCGACACCTTCCTGCTGCAGGACCCAAGAACCCAGCGCTCCAGAGAAGAGACAGGCAACCCATGACCACTCACAGGCTCATGAGGAGAGGGTGTTCTTGACCGAGTCTGGAGATCACTCACTTGTGGCCCATGGTCTCTGGCATGGTTATGATTTCTGGGGCATCGAAGAACTCATTATCATCATCCTCATCACTCAGATCCCCTTTTGCTGGGCAGCATTGATCTGCAAGAGGAAATAGCATCAAGATCCATGCCCAAAGGGTCTTCCTTTCTTCATCTGTTGGGCGTCTGCAGCTAGAGCCCAATGTGAAGTGACAGTGTGCAAGTAAGGGATTCCAATTACCCCAGGCCCAGTGATAGCAGCAACAGCAAGGAGGAAGGCCAATAACTCCACCCTCTTACCTTTTGAAGAGCCCCCACTGCCCGGGGCATTGGCAGGCAGTACAGTAGCCCCCCGGAAGGCTCTCTCCAGATGGTTGTGCTGCTTAGCCAGCTGCTCCAGGGTCTCCTCCAGACGAATGCGCTGGTCTCGCTCATACTGAAGAGACTTCTGCCACTTCTTGCTGTGCGTCTGGGCCAGCACAAGGAAGTCTCTGCAGGCCTGCAGGGAGAAGCACCTGTTACTGCTCCCCATCTGGGCTCAGGGTCAGTGGCTGCTATTCAGCACATGGCTGTTGTCTATAGATGCCTCAACTCCCCAGCCCCTTTGTGGTGCTCCAGGATGCAGATGAATACATGTCTTTGGAATTTCTTGGTCTCTAGCACAAGGGCAGGTCAAGTCTGGCCCACGGGCCAGATCAGGCCCACAGCAGACTCCATTTCCCAGCAGCCCCTGTTTGCATTGCTGGGGCCAGTTTCCATGGAGACCGAGGTCTTTATGGATACTGGCCCCAGCAATGACAGCGCAAGGCCAGGGGTTCCATGGAGACCAGCCCCAGCAGCACTGGCAGGGTGCATGGCTGGGCAGGGGGCTGCTCAGGGGCCAGGGCTGGGATCTTGCAGTGATGACAGTGTGGTCCTGAGCTGAGGCACATCTGCAATTTGTTGCCTTGCCAGAGCAGCTGGGGCTGGTCTCCATGGAAATCCTGGCCCTGTGTTGTCACAGCATCAACACTACTGGATTCTCCATGGAAACCAGCCCCAGCGATGTGAGCAGGAGCTGCTGGGAAATGCAGTCTGGCCACTGGCTGGAGCAGTGAAGCTCCAGAGCCAGGCAGGCTGTTGGGTGGGGGCAGGGACTGAGCTCAGCTGGGGACAGGAACAGCAGTAACAGCATGGTAGGAGAGTAGCTTCCCCACTCCCTCCCCAGTCCCCTTGGGAGCAGATGCAGGGAAGGGGCACCCACCTGCCTATCCATGCTGCTGTTGTCCATGTCTCCAACTGACTGTGCTTTAGGAATTTAGAAGAAATCCCTGGAGGCCCCCATGTTGCAGTGCAATCCAAAAAGCAGGGGGCAGCTGCACCACTGCACCTCCTTTGAGTCTACCCCCAAGCACCCCTGCTCTACACTATCATCTTTGGCTGGATTAATGATGTCAGCCACAGGTGTAAGTAGCCAGCACCCCCAGGGATGTGGCAGTGCCAGCAGCATCCCCAGGATTTGGCAATGCCAGCAGAACCCGAGGTAGACACAGCAATGCCAACAGGCTTCTGTCTGCTAAGCCTGCATCATTCAGGAAGGTATGGCAGTTGTGGTGGCAGAAAATAAACCAATATTTGCTGGCATATGCTGCTTCTCCACTAGGGGACTCTGTCGTCTTAGCTACAGAACTGGGAGCAGCTCCGCCACATAGGCATAACTACAGCAAACTTGGATCGCCTCCTGAGAAATGGCCTGTGCTGGGCACCTCCCCCTTGGGGATGTGGCCTACAGCCTGGCTCCCCACCTCTCTTTGGGTCAGGGTACAATGACTCCAGGACAGGTAACAAGCTGCAGCCATTCCTGGAACAAAGTTCTGCCCCATGCTTCTGCAGGCTTGCTCCCCCACACACCTGTTCTCTGCCCACCACACAGCCTGGCTCACCGTGCCCTGTGAGCAGGGAAAGCCCAGACAGACCTCACAGCAGATTCATTGTAGCATGGCAAGGCTGTGTACATTATGGAGTGCTTGTGTTGGCAGAAGAGGGACTGGTGCAGGAATCTATTGGTTTCCTGTACTAGTTTGCACAGGAGAAGACAGTTCCTCTACCACCTGCCCAAGGCATGGCTGCAGCTCAGAGACCACTCTCCTGCAATAGTGCTCACAGGCCCTGATGGGGGTCAGGTCCTCAAGTGCATCACAGACAGACATGGCAATTCATCACTATCCAGAGTCATGCCATACCCTGCTCCATGCCAAGTGCAGAGGCCTCTCCCCAGTGCACTCCAGTCTGGAGCACTACCTACTGGAGGCTGTGAGCTTGGCAGATCCCTGTGAATGGGGACACTCACGTTGATCATAGCATTGGAGGTGATGCGGAACAGCGTGGCACGCTCATTGACTTGCTTGATCTTCTCATTGCTCTCAGCAGGCAGCTTGAGGGACTCCAGCTCACTGAGGGAGCGCTGCAGGGCCGTGCCATGCTTGGCAATCAGGTCGTTGCAGGTGCTCAGGTCCTCCACCTTGCTGGAGAGAGTGCGTAATGTGGTCTGCAGCTCTGTCTTGTCTGTCTGAGACACGGACTCCTCATCACCAGAGTCATCTGGAAGCAGGGGCAAGGAGAAGCAGCCAGGTCACATTCAGACGGAAAGGGACACAGGGCAGAGCCAGCCCTCATACCCTCCCTTGCTCCTTGGGGATGGTCAGGACCTCTAGTTCCCCAGCTCCACCAAACCCTTGAAAATCAAAAGTAGCCAACCAGCTATTTCTACAGAAATGGTCTCTTGTTGCAAACTAATCCTGGAAGTTGGAGATGACGAGTAGTTGTCACCTCCTGGCTGATCAGTGGCCCATGTTATCCACACTTAGCTACAAGGCCTGAGTCTTTAGAGTTGGCAGTGCAACCCTGCATCTCTAGGCATGTTGTCAGAAGTTAGGTGAAACTTGGGGTCTGTGTTTCTCAAAGCAAAAAAGCTCACATATTCAGGTCCGCTAGCAAAGGTTGGAACAGGCTCAGCCTCTGCATCCCAGTCACTCTGAGAAACATCCAGAGCGGGCGAGAGTTAGTTACACCACCCAAGTGACCCACGCAGGTCACCTGCAGATCAGAGTCCCTCCAGTACAGTCTATACAAGGTCACACTGAATATCTTTATTTAGCTGTGAATGCAGCAGCCCAGCTGCCTAGCAAGCAATATTAAACTCTGCCATGGGTGACTGGTGCCTCGTGGGTCAGGGGGGAAACATGCTCCCCCTCCCAGTGGCCAGTCAGCAACCGGGGGATCACGCTGACTGGATTTGGGGGGGCAGCACGGCAGCCCTGCAGCTGATCAGGCTGATCCAGAAGTGCAAGTGGTGCTCCCAGATGTGCCAGTGGCACTTCTCCTGGCGACCCCACCCCCTGGCCGGCACTCGCAGGGTTGCACATCTGCCTGCCCCCCCTGCCTGTCACCTAACCAGGAAGCGCTAGCTGCCAGGGGGTGTACCAGCACTCTCAGGGGGTGCACATGAGCCCTAGTTTTAACTGGAAGTCCTAAGTGGTTTAGGTGTTGCCTTGTTCATCCAAGTAATAATCAAGACTACTGAAGTACTCAAGCCCTGGCTGAAACATGAAAGGTTGAAAGAACTGGAGCTACTTCATCTAGAGAAAAGATGACCACTAAGTCTTGAAACCCAAAACTAATTAATATGAAGCTCATCCTATAAGCAGTGTTACAGATCACTTGAAGAGGCTGCGGAATCTCAGTGCTTTGGAAGCTTGTAAGAACAGATTAAACAAACACTTGTCTAGGATGGTTCAGGTAGGGATGATCTTGCCTTGGCAGGGGGCTGGCTCAGATGGCCTCTTGCTGTCCCTTCAAACCCTATTTTTCTACGATTCTATGAGGGGCAGAGCATTAGTAGGTGAGGCTTCTCAAATTGGAACCGGCTTTGGCCTAAGAGAGCGGCAGCCTGCTTAACCTGGAGGGCACAGTATGGAGCTGGGAGGGGATGGTTTGCATGCCAAAAGTGAGTTCAGGGAAGATGGTGTTTATTTTCCTCCCACAAAAAAAATAGAAAGACACATGGAGGGGTGAGGGAAGGCTTTTCTTCTTTTAAATCAAGTATTTTTCCACCCCAAAGCCAAGGTGAGAAAAGCTAGTACAGGCAACACTGTTAAGAGGCTGCAACAAGAAATGCCTACCAAGACTCCACAGAAACAGATCAAGCCTAGAAGTCTTAGGGGAGAGATTTGATCAGAGCATATGGCTGGGTTTCCTGGCATGTGAGAAGCATGTTGAACATAAAGGCAGCCAACTCAGGCACATACTAGAGATCTGGGAGCCGAAAAGTTTCAGAAATATCAGAGCTGTGAATCCTGGTCTTCTCCTGTCATCAATACGCTGAGATAACAGTCAGGATTTCACACTGGCAGTTAAGGAAGAACAGACTGCTGAGCTTTGATTAGTCTGTGATAGGCCAAAGGAGGGGGAGGGGAACATCCAGATGTCTGGAAATCGTCAGGGGACAACTGCAGACCAGTATCAAATATCTGGGTGTTATGACAAGAGAGAGAGGCCATAATCAGTACAGCTTAGTGGCTAGAACAGTGCTTCTCAGCCGTTTTAGACTCAAGACACCCCTCCATACCTATTTTGAATTTAGTGGTACCACATTTAAAAATTTAAAAAACCTAATTTATTTATAATTATTACAGTGCATAAAAATGGAATACGCTTGAAACATTTTTCAAACTGGACTAAAACCTGCATGAATAACCATAATATTATAATTAATAAGATACTCGAGTCTAGAAGTGCCCCAGTTAGAATCACTGTTCTAGAAGGATACTGTTATGGACCCTGTTACCCTGGGGTCTGAACAGCCTAAATCTTTAATGTACCGATCCCCGGTGCAATACCGTATTGTGAGGCACAAAGCCTAAGAGTCAGATTCCACTGCATGCTGAACATGCCTAAGTGGGACATCAGGTAGAAACTGCTCATTTTGGATATATTGCCTAAAGGGGGCGGGGAAGGTGCAGTAGGGGGAGAAATGGTGTGAAGAAAAAAAAAAAAAGGGGCAACTCTACTAAAAAAAAGTGTGTTGGGGCGGGGGGGGGCGGCGGCGGCACACAAAGAGGTTTTCCCTACCGGATGGGCTTACAGCAAAGAAATTGGTTGATA